GTCCACACACAGTCTGAGACTGATATTTCTTTTTCACCATAACAATTGGCGCAGCTAGCTATTGCTAGGCTGAGTTAGCCCAGTCGCAGGCTCTGCTGTACATGCTGGTCGGCCGCTATTTGTTTGTCTCCTGCCATCCTGCATGGCGGGTGCTTAACTGGTGGCACTGACATGGTCAAGATGTCATGCTGGACGACACTGGTGCAACCAAGGTCATTTGGGCCAGTGAGAAGACATCACCATAGGACCCCAGCAGGCCTGCTAGTCCCCAACGGGCAACGTGTGTCAAACCGGGGCTGCTCTCAGCATACAGGGCCTGCAAATGGCTTGGCACAAAAGCAGGGGCAGTGCTATCAAGCTTGAGGGCTGCCAAGACCCTTGGTGGGTAATTCGCCAACCCCTCCAGGACTTGCACAGGCTGAAGAACCCCAGCCACGGCAACCCACTTTAAAGTAACAGCCCCAGGGTTAAAGACTCTGATCAGGATGCTAGAGGGTTTGCAAGGCTGCACAACTGCGTGAGCCACCAGCACTTTGCGTTTCTCCATAAAACCCTTCATGGGGCTTTGTGGGGTCTATCAGTTCACACGGTTACCCCTACTCCTCCAACAGTATACTCAGAACAAGCATCACATACACCTTGGGCTGCCATGAGAGTTTTTTTTATTCCCTTTTAATTCCTGTCACGGGGCTGGGCAGCCTGTACTGAACAGGACTCAGGTGCAGAAACCCAGAGCGGAGACAGCTGATGATATAACAATTTATTAGGCTTAAGTTCAAAAAAGAAAACGGAGCAAAGACAAAAAAACAATAAGACGTGGAGTTTGGATGAGGCGTGGCCTGGGGAACGTGGCTAGGGCGAGGGAATGAGGCCTGAGATGCGGAGTGGAGGTGAGTAGGGAACAGTCACACTGAAGGGAGAAGATAGAGGAGTTAGGGAGGTAGTGAAGGCAGCTCTGAAGTGGCCAGTTGTAAGAGTAGCAATTCTTACTTGCAGTTGGAGACCTGGAGTGTTGAGAGGGGGGTGATGAGAATCCAGGGGAGGCTGAGTGGCGTGGAAAGGCTGGCCTGAGATCCGGGGCTTCAGATGGAGTGTGATGGCAGGAGGGCAGGCAGGTGAGGCACAGAGAGAGTTTCAGAATGATTGCTTGGTATCCTGAGTCCGGAGGTGGAGCGTGAGCCAAGGTGAATAC